GTAGCATGGACGGAGAACGAACGGCTACTGGGAGATGCTGCAAAAAAACCAGGCTTAGTGAATGAATCGGCATGACAGTGTTTGTTTCGCTTGTTTCACTGGGCAGGTTGCCAGCAATCCAACCAACACCGTTTTTGATGCCAAGCGTTTGATTGGCCGAAAGTTCCAGGAGTTCTTGTGATGTTTCTTTTGCATGAAGGTCGACCGGGTTCGAGACAAAGATGGCCTTCTCTCTCTCTCTATCTATATATATATATATAGGAATTTGCTTTTTAAGTCAAAAAGGTCCAATCGATCTATATATATATATATATAGATGCCGTTGTCATTTTCAGTTTCCAGGATCCTGTTGTCCAAGCGGACCTGAAGCTTTGGCCCTTCAAGGTGGGAGTTGCAAAGCATTGCTGAGTTGCTGTGGACAACCATCACTCCTCATTATGATGCAATAGCCCATCGAGACTGAGACTCTTATATAAAATGCTCTTGTTTGTAATAAGTAGTATGGGAAGACCTAAGATTGACAAAAGAAGACATGGGGGTGTCCGATTTCTCGAAGAAATGACTATTTGCATGCTTTTTGCACAAAGGTTGTGTCTGATGGGTCATCAGATGACAAGCCACTGATCGAGGCAAGATGTTGCAGTCAAATTGTTGGTTGGGGCGCACCATGAATGTGTTTGCATAATTTTGGGCCATCGCTAGTACCCGCTAGTAGGTTGGAGGCTACCGCTAGTAGGTTGGAAGCCATCGCTAGTAGGTTGGAGGCCACCGCTAGTAGGTTGGTAGCCATCGCTAGTAGGTTGGAGGCCAGAGGCCATCGCTAGTAGGTTGGAGGCCAGAGGCCATCGCCAGTAGGTTGGAAGCCCCTGCCAGTAGGTTGGAAGCCGGGGGCCACCGCTAGTAGGTTGGTCAGAGGTAAAAAGCCATCGCCAATGGGTTGGAAGCCATCGCTAGTAGGTGGGAGGCCAGAGGCCAACGCTAGTAGGTTGGAAGCGAGTAGGTCGGAGGCCAGAGGCCATCGCTAGTAGGTTGGAGGCCATCGTTAGTAGGTTGGAGGTCAGAGGCCGTCGCCAGTAGGTTAGAAGCCACCGCCAGTAGGTTGGAGGCCAGAGCCCGTCGCTAGTAGGTGGGAAGCCATCGCTAGTAGGTTGGGATTGGAGGCCAGAGGTAAAAAGCTATCGCCAATGGGTTGGAAGCCATCGCTAGTAGGTTGGAGGCCAGAGGCCACTGCTAGTAGGTTGGAGGCCAGAGGCCATCGCTAGTATTTTGGAAGCCATCGCTAGTAGGTTGAAGGCCGTCGCTACTAGGTTGGAAGTCACGGCGAGGCGCTGGCTCGAGTCCCTACCAGGGGTGTGCCCGTGCAGGCTGAAAACTCGAGGGGGTTTTCAATGCCTGCTTTTGATCCAGAGCCATGGTTGGGGACAGTCCCTGATGGTACCTCCATACACCTTGCTGGTCGAGCATGGTACCGTGATTCCACAGCATGCAATCGACTGACCAAGGGACCATCGTGCTGGCTGCTCATGCCAACGCAGTTCAGATCCACCGCTTGATCGGTCGGGATGGAGCAACTGATGTGATTGACATTTGTTCGGGCGCCATCATGACAGATGGCTACCACTTGATAGGCTGCAATGTGCGATGCCATGTAGAGATCAATGCCAAAAAAATCAATGCCAAATATGCTGGCTGGCTTCGAGCTCGGCAACGGACAGTCATTGAAGGAGACAGTGACAGCACAGAAGTCAAGCTAGCTTTGCTGCCTTATACTGCGAAGCCATGCGTTATCACTGGAGGTTTGCCTGTCAACCCGAGTCAACCCTTCTCGCAGCTTGGAGATGGTCGACAGCAGTTGGACCCTCGTGCACGAAGTTTTGAAGGGATGGTCGCAGCATGCTATTTGTTCCAGCCACTAGCCTTGGTACTGGAGTGCACAAAGGAGGCAATGCATTCGACATGGGTACAGGACGCACTGAAGTCCTTCTGTCAAGCTGCTGAGTACACATGTCAGCAGCAGATCTGCCACCTCCAGGACTTGTGGCCAGCCAAAAGGACACGTTGGTGGGCGGTGATCATAATTATCCTGGGTTCCAGATGCCTGCGTTGCAGAGTTTCCCAGCCCTTGACTTCCAACCATCCTTTCGGCACCTGATCCCAAAGATGGCGGACGCGGGGGGGGGTTGGTAAGAATGCTGTCAGCCCCTTTGCCCACTGCCCTCCATGCCTGGGGGTCTCAGCTGCAAGCATGTGCATGCGGTTGCCGGTCCGGGGTTTCACTACCCAACGCCTAGACTAGAAAGGATTGTGCGGGGCATTAATTCCAGTGTATGGGGTTACACAAGTGCGAGGGCATGAAATCCAGAACATGCGACACATCCACCCTGATGAAGTTGCCATTCTGCATATGGTGCCCACTTCGTACATCCAGAGATTCCACATCACTTCGCCTTGACCTCACGGCACTTGGCCAGATGGCCTCGCCCGCACAAGCACTGTGGCACATTGCGCAGGTGGTCCAAGCCATTGAGAAGTGTGTGGAGTCCCGCCAAAGTCAGCGCTCGCCGAACAAGCCCTTCTAGGCTTAGCCATGGAAGTCTTTGCTGCCAGAGATGCAATGCTTGCCCCATTCACGCACACTAAGGAATCTGCATTGTTCCAGCAAGCCGTCTACGCCAAGTTTGGGAGAAGTTATGAGGCCACCCCACAGGCCAAGCCGCATATCGTTGCTTCGGTAGCCAGTGATCCCAGCCGATCCGAGAACCATTCAAAAGAAAGGCTACCGCCGCTGATATCGATGCTAGAGGTATGAGCACGCAGCTCGTTGTTTCTGCTACTGGAGGCTTAGAGTTCTTTGCCAACAAACCGGACAGGGTTTGCCCGGCTAGGGCAAATGGGTTTGCAGACGACGGGGCCTCGCACCGGAGATTCGAACCGAATGGCCGCCATGAGGCTCTGCCCAGCACACTGCCTGATATGCACTTCGGCACGGACACCCCGCCCGCCTGTGGTCCGACAATGCACAAGTGGTAGGAACACTCCAACAGGCCTTGTCGAATCCCGACGAGTGCAAGCTTAGCCGCAAAGACCTTGACCTTTGGACAGTCCTGCATGCGTTAGCCCGTTCCACCAACGGAGCTCTTGTCACGATCCACAAGATCGCCAGCCACCAAAGTAAGTTAAGGGCAAGCTGGATAGAGCAATGGGCTTTCAACAGGGAACGGCAGCGCAGACCACTGTGCACAGTGGAGCATTTTGTCCCCACAAGACCTCCACCACAAGCCACACAAGACCTTGCTGCAGCACGAATTTTGCGAGACCAGATCCACCAGACCATGCTAGAGGTCAGTGAAGATGCAGTCAGCAAGGATCCTCCGGCCGCCGCCGATGATCCACCACAGATTGCATTCCCCCTGCCCTTACATGAGGCCACCGTAGCAACATTGCCTCGCTGGCCCCAGACATGCACACATAAGCTTGTAGGTGATGGTTGGCCAGTGGTCCAATACTCTGATCAACCCACAAGCCGAGGTTGTGTTCGTTCCGTGGTTCCGTACTGGGAGCGGTGGTATCTGAGCTTCCCACCGCTGCTCCATGTGGCAATTGCTCACAAAGGAGGAAGCGAAGCAATATGAGCTTGCTGGCCGCATAAAGTGGTTTAGATGGTTTTTGCTCCGCATCTACAAGCTTGAAGGAATCCAGCTCAGCACCTCGTACATGAGACCTTCCTCTCGGATTGTTGTGTTTTGGGCACATTGCATTAGCGTCCGCTTCGACACCAAGAGGCTCCGACGCCTCGAACACTTTCTTGGGCAGTTCAAAGCCGCATATCTCTCCGGCAGAGATATCTTCGAGATGGGTTTGTAGTTTCCCCTGAGCCAAGGTCGCCGCCGCCAAAAGCTGCGGCGCCTGATTCTTACGGAGATATGGAGATGTGGAAGTCACCGCGAGTAGGTTGGAGGCCAGAGGCCATCGCTAGTAGGTTGGAGGCCAGAGGCCATCGCCAGTAGGTTGGAAGCCATCGCTAGCAGGTTGGAGGCCATCGCTATTAGTTTACATAGGTTTACACTTACACAGTTTACACAGTTGTGTTACAAACCTGCGGAGGTTGTTTACCAGGGTGTGGACAAGAAATTTCACCCAGAAGAGATCTCGTCGATGAAACTTGGCGCAAGGAAGGGCCTGCTTTGTTTTGCCAGGGATGGCGTTCACCTTGCCTCAGTTTTCATCATTTAGATCTCAAGGATTCTGACCAAGATGAAGCAGACCGCCGAGGCCGGGACCTGCTAGGAAGGCTCATCAGAGTCCGCTGGACATGAAAGGGGGGCTGAATCAATCTAAATCGAAAGGTACTATGATGCGCTCTTGTCATGGACCCGTTGATTTTTCAAGCCTTCGGCCAGGCGTTTGTGGGTCAGCGCGTGCGAAGTGCTGTGATCACGGTCCCTGCATACTTCAATGACTCTCAGAGGTGAGAGCAACATGAGACACTTGCAGCGCTATCGCACCTCACATCCCACATTTGGAGGCAGGCAACAAAGGATGCCGGCGAGATTGCTGGCCTGCAGCTTGTCAGTGACTAGTTTGTTTGGTGCCTGCCAATTCTCTGCGGCTTTTGCTTGACGGAGCACTTTGCCACTTTGCACACATACGGCGTACGGATTCGGCTACTGGATGGGTGGGGCCAGGAACGTGCTCCGCATCGTCAATGAGCCGACTGCTGCTGCCATCGCTTATGGCTTGGACGCAAAATCCAAAGACAAAAAGAGTGGAGTGTCCCGGTTGCAACCAGTAACTAGTTGGAACAGCACCTGTGGAAGATTGTTCATGGCTTTGCCTTTGTAAAGCGGGGTGCTGGTTGTGTTTCTCAAGGTGTTTTCGTTCTTATCCTCGTCGAATTCTTTATGGTCCTTTATCATAAAGCTTGCTTGGCGTGGGGTAAGTTCCTTGTACGCTTTAAGGAAAAGGAGACCCACATTCTCGTTTTTGACATGGGAGGAGGCACTTTCGATGCTGCTGGGTTGCATTTGTCGCACCCAGCACGTTTTCAATGTGCGAATGCTTGTCTCGAAGGTCTCGATCCTTACAATTACTGATGCGGTCTTCGAAGTGAAGGCCACGGCAGGCGACCCCCACTTGGGTGGAGAGGACTTTGACAATCGTCACTAGGAGGCACTGTTTGTGGACACCAAATAAGCTTGCAGCAGGCCTGTCACGGACATTCGAACACATACCAGCGATTTCTTTCTCCAGATGGACCGATGCACCTAGGGGAAAGCGCGTTTATCATATTTTTTGCCCGAGGCATGCTCAGCTATTGCATTTCTGAGTTTCGCCGCAAGCATAAGTCTGATCCAACTCGGAGACTCTTCTTCAAAGGAGGTAGAAGTGTGTGCCAATTCATTAAAGAAGGATACATTTGGATATATTTCGATATATATATATTTATACTATAATATTACGAAAGCCAGCCGATAGGCTGGAGTTGTCATGGGCGAGCGAGGTGATTATAGGGTCAGGAAGGTGGTGAAAATGTGTGGTTTTGGTGATGCGAGTGATGCAATTGACGCCGGAGAGTGCATCATTAGCATCGCGAAGGGCTCAGAAGACTTTTTGGACAGTCTGTCGACAAGGGTCGGGAGTTCGGGTAGGGGTGACAGGAAACAAGGAAAGGAGGTCATCCTGCACTGAGGGAGCTGATCAGGCTAACCAGCTGTGTCCACCCAGTTAGAGCAGAAGCGGCGAGATTTGTACGAGTCAGAGTTAGGACCAGAAAGATTGATAGCCATGACCAATACTTCCAGACCGCCAGTATTGCCCTGAAGGGTGGGAGGCCAAGTGTAAGCCAATGACGGCCAGCGGCAGACTTGAGCAGTCTTGGTCACATGCTCAATGTAGTTTTTTTGTACCGTTTCGGGGCCCCATAGGATGGTTTTTGGACCAACAGAGTATAGAAAGAATCACGAAATCAACGCGCCCATAAAAGCACACATTATCATGATCATTCTAAATATGTATTCAACTTGATCGAGAAATCGCATTAAATATGTTTTGTGCGTGGCTTGCCTTGAGCCAAGAGAAAAAGGCAGCCCATCATATCGACCCTCAACGCAAGACTTTGCGCCTCTCTGCCTTCTACTTCCCCGTGCCTAACAGCAGCAGAGGTCCGTGCAATGTCGACACACCCCATAACAACAGTAAGCTTTGCTCGATGGTAAGGCAATCGCGTGATCTTGGCAGTAAACTTTAGACTACACCACTCTTAGCAGCGCGCCGAGCAGGCAAGCGCCCCCCCACTTACTTCACACTGCCATGTTTCTTTTCGAAAACACATCGAAGCCAACAGAAAAAGGGCGCGCCCCCCAACCCCAACCTGTGAATGTCCTGCTCAATTCAACCTTTATCCCCCCGGACAGTAAATTCCTCCTTTTTCCGAAAGCAAGGGCTCCACTTTTATCCTATTACCGACAACAGTGAGCGGGCCTTGATGAAAACCTTGTGTCAAGCCCATCATATCGACCCTCAATGCGAGACTTTCCGCCTCTTTGCCTTCTATTTCCCCGCGCCCAACGTTAGCAGCACGAATCAGTGCAATGTCGATTTCACCCCACAACAGCAGTAGGCTTTGCTCGATGTTAGGCAATCACGTGATCTTGGCAGTAAACTTTAGACCGCGCCACTCTTGGCAGCGCGCCGAGTTTTTTGAATCCAGCAACAAGACAGGAGAAACCGACTGTAAACGTCCTGCTCAACTCTACCTTTCTCCCAACGCATGCTTCCACTTCTATCCTGTAACCGCTATCGGGCCTTGACCAAAACCTTACGTACAAAGAGCCTATCCGGCCCTGCAAGACTTTCCGCCTCTCTGCCTTCTATCCCCATGCCTGACAGCAATCCCAGTGCGCTGCCGAGTTCACCCCATAACCACATTCATGTGTTCTTAAGGAGACTGGCTTTCGCCCCTTCCCTTCTCAGGCGTATGTACAGGACAGAGTTTGCTCAGCATTTTGCTGTCGTGTTGTTCTTTCTGCAGGCACTTCTGGATCCCAAACGGTCCAAGTTTGCACAGACATTTGGACTCAGGAATCAGCGTGCCATTCGGCGTTTGAGAACACAGTGTGAGCGTGCAAAGCGGCAGCTATCGACGCAGACATCTGTGACCATTGAGTTTGAGCCTGAGAAACGCGCAAGTTTGGCCGCTGTCGTGCTGATTGGGACCAGACCACTTAAGAAGCTTGCCAAGGACATGTTTCACTTGAGTTTGCAAGTCGCTCGTTTATGAACACACTGCAATGTTGCAGGGTGGACTCCCTGCACGATGGTGCCGATTTCAGTTTGCGGCTTTCGCGTGCCAAGTTCGAAGAACTGTGTCAAGACCTTGGCCTTGTGGACGCTAGGTCTTTTCTTCTTTGATGAATAGCTTCCATTGAGTCATTGAGGCATGGATTACTTCAAGAAGGCAATGGAACCTGTATCCCAGCTCATTGCTTAGCAGTTGGAACACAATGAGTAATCACTGCCAACTGACCCAGAAATTCATTTCTTTAAGGTGCCTTGGAGACAGTGGCTTGCCCAAATCGAAGATTTCTGATGTGGTCTTGGTGGGTGGTTCCACACGCAGCTTGGCTGTATCGATGTTCGCAATGTTTTGCTTGCATCGCGTGGTCGCTCCCATAGAAGCCCAACTGTTTGGCCAATCCTGTGTGCAACGCTGCGGCCTTTCTTTTTGACGTTGAAACCTGCGCCCTTTTGATTCTTGCAGTTGTTGTTGAAAGTTTTTGTTTGAGCCGGGTGTGTGTGTGTGTGTCCAAGGCATCCCCAAAGTCCAGGAACTTATCAGCTCATTCTTCAATGGGAAGCATTTGTGCAAGGTGCGACTGTAAAGTCAAGAGAGCTTCAAACCACAATGGTAAGAGATTGAAAGAATTAGAACCCGAGTTATAGTTCTTTCGCCATAGGGGATCTCACCACCTCTCCTGCCTCCAATAAGTCTGGTTTTAATTTCATTGTTCTCCATATTTGTTTCAGTGATGAATTAACTCGCGTCTTAATTGTTTTGAGACCCTTTGGATCACTGATGAAGTAAATTGTCTAGTTTTTGACTTTTGACTCCGATACGGATACTGGGATACAACTTTAATTCAATCAAGAGTGAATGGTGGCTGCCTTGCCATTTTAGCTCGAGCCACCATCCCCCCCATTTGCTTCTTGGCATGGGGGGGGTAGTTCAATTCGTTTTTCTCGCGGGCCTTTGCCATCCTCCCCGCGGAGGGAGTTGGGCTGGCGATGGGCCAGACCGCCGACGCGCGGGAGCATTTCCATGTGGGGGATGGCCTGAGCCTTCATTCGAGAGGCGGGCGACCCTGGGACAAGGTTGTATCCAGACGCCTGGCACCTGATCTGCACAGCGGACGAGATGGCAAGGGGGGGACATTTCAAGCTGCGCGTGACGATGGGTATCGAAGCAGGGAGGACAACCCCCACACCGTACGACAGCTCCAAACCCTGGGAATCGATCTACAAGCTATTGCCCCAAGAGGTCAAGTTCTGGATTCTGGCAAGATCAGGCACACTCGCCGGCCCTGACATGGATGGCGAACGGGGCGAGGAGCAATCTGAAGCCACAGGAGGTTGTGGCACAGGGCTCATTGAGAGGGGGCCTGGAGAGCTCCAGCTTTGGAATCAGGTGCAGCAGGCCATGCATCATCGTCCACTACAGGGCAGCCAACAAAGAGAGGAAGGAGAACAAGACAAGGAAGATACAAGCGGAGAAAGAGGAGCTGGCGAGACTTTGGGGCTGGAGCGGCATCATCTGGTGGTGGTGGAGATTGACATCATCAACCTCAGAAGGGAGGGGGAAAAGGGGGAGAGGCCCTTTGCTACAGTTGGAATAATGGCAACACACCCTGTTACAACCTTCCAGCGGGAGCGGAATGCCAAAATCAGGTGAGAGCTCATCGTTGTACGGGGTGCAATTCGCCAGGTCATCCAGCTCACAAGTGCAAACAGAAGGCCTGAACAAGGAGTCGAAGCACAAGGACAAGGAGGACGACCAGAAGGAAGGGCGCAAAGACAAAGATAAGGGCGGAAGGACAAGACACCAAACAACCCAAAGAAACAGAGGTTGGAGGAAAAGGGGCAGGAGGTGAAGAGGTACATACGGACCTGGCGCTTCCGCTTCATCGCAGGCTACAACGACCCTCTTCCTTGGAAGAGAAGTGCCAAGAAAAGCCCTGAAGAGGGGCATGGACGTTGAAGTCATCTCGGTGGAGAGGGATTGGGGCCAGGACCTGACGGCGAGGGAACCCTATCCAATGCGCCTGCAATGGGCTATAAAGATGGTCTGGTGGATGGGTACCACGTGGGCTTCCCATGCGCCACCTTCAGTAGGCTGTGACGCAGACCCGCACCAGGCATGCACGATGGTGGGGAAACCTAGATTGATTGCTCAATGGACGCGAAGTCGCTGGAGGCTGGAAGGGAGAACTCCAAAGGCTGACAGGAGCCAAGGGCAAGGTAGCAGTCCAGTTGAAGGGCAGAGGAGAGTACGCCTCACCACTTGATGCAGAGTTGATTGCGGCCTGGAGGCGGAAAGGGGCGGACCCGGAGACGGAGGTGGAGCGTGGGTAAGGGAATCAACAAGAGCATCAAATCAGTGGCAGGAGAGGACAAAGTGACAAAGGGCACCGACGTGGGCAACTACTCCAGCGTGAAGACGCCGCGATCGAGCTGGGAAGGTTGAAGGAGCTGGGATACACGGTGTCGGTCTCCAAGCAAGAGATCGCAGACAGGAACTACAAAGATCAGACCGTCTCCCCGCGGCAGGGTTTGATCGTGAAACCAAAGCGGTGCTTCAGGAAAGACTAGTTCTTCCGAGGCCACAAGATGCCATCAACGTGACCCAAGAAGTTTACAAGGCTTGGTCGAGCGAGCAACGCTTCGGAGGAGAACAACGGCATGGAAATGGTGTTGATAGACATATCGGACGCCTACATGCATTTAGCAGTGCGTGAGTCGGAACTGCCTCATTGCTTAGGCGCCATTGATGTGGAGTAGAGTGGCGGCAGTGGTGGCGAGGCTGGTTCAAAGTCTGGTACCGAAGGACTTGGGTAGGCGCCTGGACAACTCCCTGTGGGGCGCGCTTCAGAAGAGGACAGGGTTGCTATCGTGTATAATCACCACGATGGCCGCACTCGGACTCAAGGTCAACCGCCTGGCGAAGGGGGAGAGATCCATGAGGGTCACTAGGAGTGGAGTTCAAGCAATCTCCAACCACCAGACTTCAGGACTTCAGCACTTTGCTAATCAGCCTGCCCGAGAAGTTCATCAACGAGCTCCAAGACCAGTTGAAGGGTTGGCAGGGAAGGTGTCTTGGTTAGCTGGAGTGTTGATCCGAGCCCGATGCGCGACGCCAGTACTCTATGCGGCTTTGTTCGACCACGAAGACGCCGTGGAGAAGGGTGATGAGGAAAGACAGCCGAGACAAGAGCAGGCTCATCGCAGTCCATGCACGCCTGTCGTTGGTGGAGTACCTGGCGGGACTCAGTGACAGCGCTGTCCCTCGAACAGCGCCAAAACCCTGAACTTCTTGGGTGGCGAAGTCTCCATGCAAATGGAGAGGATGGGACTCAGCCAACTCACACCAGTGCACGTCCCCGGATCGGCCAATGTCGAGCCGACTACCTTTCAAGGCCAGAAACGTGGCGCAAGGTGAGCCTTCCAAAGGAGTTGGCAGGGATTCGAATTGAAACCCCGGCCAACCTCCTGCGAATGAATGAGAGGGTTGGAACGAAGCCACGGCCCTTTCAGCAGCACGGTCACCCCGCCATTGATTGAGCAGAGGAGACGGCGAGCCAGAAAGGGGAAGGAGCTTGGAAGGGGGATGGGAGACCTCTGAAAACCAGAACCAGGTGGGTTCGTGTGTCCGTTCGTTCGTGTTCGTCGTCCACCGCAGCCCTTTTTCATGATCAAGATGGACGTCGTACCGTTCGACGCGGCGCCGCGCCCAGGGATGGGCCTTTGGTTTGAGAGTGGGCCCGAGCACATGGCTTGCCCGAACTGGGGGTCAGGTTCGGTTCCATCCCCGGCACCTTCAGTTCCCCCACTAGGCTACCTGCTGGGGGTTCAACGTTGATCGACTGGACGCCCGAAAGGCTGGCGAGGGCAGATCCCACTTTGGAGGACCCAGATGGCACCTCGAAGCGTCAACAAGGAGTTCGCCGCCTAGTGACGAGGAGGCTGAACGCCAAGGAATCCTGGAAACTATGAGCGGGCTATTACAACTGGAGACGCTCGTGAAGAAGACAGAACTCGAAGAGCCCTTTCCTCCTCAACCACCTCTTGGACCCCCTAACGAGATGGAGTTGTACGAGGAGATGAAGGTTGACGAGAGAGGATACGACCACAGCTTGGTGAGGATGGTGAAGAGAAGGAGATGGCAGACCCCATGGGAGGACCCGAAGGTAAAGAGCAAAGGAACCCCCCGCAAAGATGAACGAGCGATTGGTTGGACAGAGCAAGAAGAGAAAGGACCTGCCCAACATGCCCGTCGGAGGATCAGATCAAGAAGGTGCTCCACAGAAGAAACATGGGCATGCACGTAAGATAGCCGGAATCCTGGCAAAGAACAAATACCGCTAAGTCAAATCCCTGAAGAACTTGCGGCAGTCCTTCTTGGCGAACTCTTCGAAGAAGGCGAAGGCTTCAATTCGAAGGACGGTACAAAGCATCCTGGACAAGGTGGGGGCAGAGGGGAAAAGAGCATTCTGCATAAAGCCCGACGACGTGGAGAAGGTAGGCGCTGTATTGAAGGAGGCTCAATACAAAGCGGGTACGACCTACCTAGCAGAGTTGAAGCTGATGCTCATCGAAGATGGAGGTTTGTGGTCGCGGCAACACGAAAGAATGTTTGCGCGAGTGAGTAGGGCCTTGAAGAGGGCCAAGGGACCGTCAAAGAAGTCAGCAGAGGTTCCTGAAGATCGCTGGCTGGAGTCAAAAACTTCGAGAAACCAATGATCAACCGGAAGGAGGAGTATGGAAGCCGGCGCTCCTCTTCGCCTTTTCCTGCATGTGGATGGTTGCCATCGTGATGAAGGAAGACATTCAATTCAGGAAGAGAGGACCGCATCACATCCCTCTATCTGAGGGCCTGAGGGTGTCGAAGAATGGTCCAGAAGAAGCAGGATGCAGAAGGACACTCCAATGCTCGTGCCATGGACCCTGTTCATCATCGAACACCTGCCCCTTTGCAATTTCAAATGAACTTCTGGACCCTGAAGGAAGCCAAGGTGAACCCCGTGGAAGAGAGGGCCGCGTGGGACAAGAGTACAAAGCAACCACAACAAGAAGTGCGAGTCCTGAAAGCAGCGCAAGACAAGCCGGAACAGTCAGCGGAGCAATGGGGCAAGATCGCGGACCAGAACTTCGGGCTACTCCCACCGCTGGTGATATCGAAGTCAGGACTGGTACATGACAAGATGAGGCAACCAGTTGCCTCACCGCTATGCACCTGGCACTCGCTGTGGTTGGCCCTTCGGTTCGTCTTCGTTTACCTTTGGCTACGGAAAAGACAAAGTGACTTGTCAAAAGTGCACCACCCTAAGCCTTGCGCTGAGCAAGGAGGTAGAGTTGTGCAAGGCTGGTGGATGAGGCATGGTACAGCTGCTGCCAATAAAGGCATACCAACTCGACCAAAGTTACGAACAGTTTGGCGGTTGTGCTGCGCTCTCGTCGTGCAGAAAAATGAGGTAGGAATTTTCGAAGGACATTCGATGTGCAGTACAGGGGGGGGATGGTGTTTGCCTTGCCATTTTGGCTCAAGCCACCATCTCCCCCATTTGCCTCTTCCCTCCCCCCGCACCTCAAAAGGAGGTAGGGTTGGGCAAGGCTGGTGGATGAGGCATGGTACAGCTGCTGCCAATGAAGACATGCCAACTCGACCAAAGCTACGAGTTTGGCGGTTGTGCTGCACTCTTGTCTCAAGAGCTAATTGTCTTCCATGACCCTCTAGACTCTACACTCCACCCTGCCCAATGTTGCAAGGCCTGTGGAGAGTTCATCCCAAAGAGTTAGCACCAACTGAAGAAGCAGTTGAGAAACAATTGCAACAAGAGTTAATAGTCTGTCTCGATACACTCTTCAATACTTTCTTGTCAACTGCTACCGGCAAAGGAGAAAAACGTGCAATCACAGCGTGAAACTGCTTTGCTATGTGTTGACTTGTGGTCGATAATGAAGCAGAAACAATTAAAACTAGAATAATTCTTCGGAAAATACAGTTCACACAGCAATTGCAGCACGAGTTATTTTTTTTGCTAAGGCTAAGGTGTGGGATGCCCACTCCGCCACCAGACAACAATTAACTGTTTACCTCCAGAGTAAACTCTTGGGCCACTTGGGTGTTTACTGCCTGCCAGTGTTACTTGTAGCTAAAAGCTACTAGGTGGAGGTCATCGCTATTAGGATGGAGGGAAACTCGGGTGTTTACTGCCTGCAGTGTGATTTCAACATGAGCACACTCCCAAAACCTGGAGGAGATCAATCCCGACGAAGCCGTGGCATACGGAGCAGCGGTCCAAGCTGCCATTGTGTCCGGAACAGGCATGGTTGCAAGTGAGCCTGTCAGGATGAATTTGTGACTGGCTAACCCCCACTAGGAACGGAGGAAGTCGAGAACATGCTTTTGCTAGACGTGGCGCCATTGTCTCTGGGCAACTTGGCAGACAAGACATGCTGCAGTGCTGGTATGTCGTGTTTCTTCAGATGCTGCGACGAAGCCGAACACGCGCTTAGGCATTGAGATGGCGGGGGGGCATGATGCAGAAACTCATTGAGAGAAACAGTACAATTCCCACCAACAAAAGCCAGGCAGGCCATCACGTGATTTACACAGCAAGACTCTGAGTCAATGGCAATGCCTTTGAGAGGATTTCACCACTGCGGAAGACTACCAGGACCATGTAGAAATCAAGGCACGGAGGATTTTGGTGTGGCTAGTGAAGGACAGTGATTTGGCGCAGGTATATGAAGGAGAGCGAGCAATGGTGAAAGTCCTCGCCTTATTCGATCATTTGAGATTTTCTTTATCCCTGATGCCTGCTGTTCCGCCAAGGACAACAACTACCTTGGAAAATTTGTGCTGACCAGCATCCCCAAAACCCTACGAGGTGTCCCAAAGATCAAGGCCTGCTTGACATATCCCCATCATAAAGTAGGTACTGTATGTTACTGTAACAGCTTTAAGCTCAAGTTCGTTGAGGTCACTTTCAATGTCGACTCAAACGGAATCCTGGAAGTAACAGCGGAGGACTTGGGGTGGATCAGCATAGGTGATAGTGATAGAATGATCATGAGTCATGTGCAGTCCCGTCTGCGACCTGAGCAAGCAGGACATGAAGACCCACCGCAAGGGAGAGATTCAGATTACAAATGAGAAAGGTGGCCAAGCAGCAAGAGGTTTCCAGATCCTGCAGGTACATCTCTTTACACGATGCAGAACATTATATACTTGAGCGCGTCGTTTGCAATTCCTTTCCATCCATTTGTGAACCAGCCCTTTGCTCATCAAGGCCGCCTGTCTCAACATGATATCGAGCGAATGCTTAAGGATGCTGAGGCCCACAAGGTGCAAATCCAAAGCAATGAATTTGTATGGATTCGTGATGCGTAATGAAGCAATGGATGCTAGACATGATGGCACTTTGCCGCATCATCGGTTGGACATTCACTTGGGGCCTGACTTCTAGGACGAAGATGATTTGGCAAGAGGTGAAATAATGGCTAGAGAGGCCGGAGGATTGAGTTGCCCATAGTTTGGACAGACCGTATGTGTGTTTACATGCGTTTACCGTGCCAGTCACTGACGGTCTACATGAGAAGAACCAGGAAGGCTTTGGAAGAGATCGATTCCGTGGCTCAGATCCAGAAATAGAGCAGTGATCGATGCGGTTGTTTTTGTTGTAGCGCGTTTGGAGTTTTGCACATCATTTGCCACAAAGGACAAGATTTTGAAGCGAGATCGCGAGAGACTAGAGAAGAAGATGGAAGAGGCAATTGGTTGTGCAGAATGCATCAAGTAGCAGTAGGACTTTGGACCGCCGTTGGCAGGTGGACATTTGGTTAGACACGGGGGGCGACAAAGGCCCATGATGTATATGACGCATTTTATGAAGGTTTGTGAGCCGTCTCAACTGTGAGACCCTGGCACATCAAGGCCACCAAAGAGGAGTTTGAAGCAAAGCAAAGAGTTTAGCCCCCAGACCTGAGTTGAGGCTAGATAAGTGCAGTGAGTGCATTGATGGCATTGACGTGCCTGGCTGAGGAGTTGGAGTCGGCCATGAACACCATCATGCTCAAAATCAATAGGTGCCCTGAAAAGAACCTTTTCCTGAACTGATTTGCGTGAAGGCCAGAAGGTCCTGTCATTTGCTTTACTGCGCACAGGTCTGAGAATGACTTTTGGGAGCAGCAGGCCTCCAATGAAGTCACACAGGATGCTATTGTTTCATGGAACTTGTGAGGTAGGTAGCTAGATTTGGAAGATGTCACATGATTGTTTGACTTGTTTTGAGGCGATTCTGCCAGAAAATGAGAAGACCATAGAACATGGAGGGTATACTCGGCAGCACTTGAGTTGATTTTTTTGATATGAGCTGTCAACCGTTCAACCTAAGGTACTACCTGGACTCTGGCCTAGACATCCGTGGCTTGACCAAGATAGTCTGAAGTTGATGGAAGCACTAGGTGCCTGAACAACTTGACTGAACTTGGTTTCACAACAATGGGCCCCATCGCAGGAGACTTGATTGAGGATCCAGACTGAGAGAGGTGGAGTTGCAACTTTTTGGCGCTTGCCTTTGGTTGGCGATGCTGAGACTGCCCCAGCGCCGTCACAACTAGGCGGTAGACCATTTGCTGCACTGAAGTACCTTCAGCGCCACGCTATGATGTAGTGGCATATGAGATGTCAATTTGCAATGCATTGCTCAGTGTGTGAATGATGTGCAAGTGGTGCTGCAAGAAGGTTTCCGTCCATTGTGCACTGTAAGCAAGTCAACATGAATGAAAATTTGTTCATTCCCAGGTTGCATATTGCACCGACCCTTTTGTATTTTCCAAATCTTTCCCCAAGCAGCTGACGTGCTGGCAAACGCCCCACGGAGCTGCGCATTGGGCCCTCTTCCGCGCGGAAGAAACCAAGATTTGTCCCTTAGGATGTTGAATTCATAGCGAGAGTGTAACAAGAATTTGGCAAATTAGACAGTAATTTAGTCCAGCTGCAAGGTGCGGCGAGAACTCATCAGGGCAATGGGTGTGTCTGAGGCCGAGGCTTGCTAGATTTGTGAATTCCTCAAGTGGTCCGGCAGTTACTGTAAAGCTAGAGATTTCAAGGTCCCACTGGGTGTGACAATCGGACCAAGTCAAACGGTGAGTTTTTATTGAATATAAGAAGACGAAAGAGACAGACAGACAGACCGACCGACGACCGACTGACCGACCGACCGACGGACGGACGGACGGACGGATGGAGGGACGGATGGACGGACAGACAGTGGGCTGGGATGGTCTTCTCCGCTGAGATGGTTCAAACCTGAAGTGCGTGGTAGCTTTGCATGTAAGGAGCCTAATTCGATGTCATGGCGAATGCAGGGCTTAAGGGCGCCAGCCCAGCTGCACAAAAGCAGCCCCTCGGCCGCATTGGTACCACAAGCACGCGCTGGTTCTGTCAAAGCCTTTTCAGTGTACTTTGAGACGGGTAGGGCTTGCCTTTGTACCCATTTTTGGTGGCTGTCTACCCGACTGTTGACCATACTTGATGGTTGCATTTCAGAGGCTAGAAAAGCTGCAAAAGCGACGGGAACAGCGAGAGCAGTGGCCTGCCGAGAAGCAGATCGTTCGCTTGCCTGCCAGCAGTGGGGCCCCGCCTGCCATTGAGCTGGAGGAATGCGGTGGGCGGTGGGCCAACTGTAGAAGGGTAAGAAATTGCATCCACGCATGTCCTCAATTGAGATCTATGAGTGATTCGCACCATAACTCGCGTCGTTTACTTAAGACTAGGGCAGCTAAGCTAGAATCTATTGCGACAGCCATGACTGCAAAAATTTGCAGTGAGTGCTAGTGGGGTTGCGCAATGTTCTGGTTTGGCTTCGGCTTCTTCCACAATGTTTGAGATTCCTCCATTTCCATTTCCATTTCTTTCTTCCGCATGCAGCCTTTGCAGGATGTAGATGACTGGCTGCAGATTGTTTTGGATCACCGCCGGCTGCCACCAAACAAGAGGCTGCTTGACAAAGTCTCAGCTGTTCAAGCTTTATTTCTTTTTGGGGAAAAACTGTTGAGCTTTGGCTAAGTCAAAACCCTAAAATCTGCGAGCGGCATGTGTAAGTGTTGCCAGATTTCTGTGAGGAATCCAAGCTCACTCTGTGTCCTTGAAAGCTTGGGAAATAGCTGCCCTGCGACCTGCGGTCCTGGCGTGGAGATGATGCGCCGGATCTATTCAGACCCAACTGCTCTCAAGGAGCATAGGTCAACGCTTGGACGGCGTAAACGAGGGGGTTCACGATGGCGTGGTTCAGGCAATCCAGTTGGGCAAACGGTTCCTCCCAATGCTCGATTTGAAGAGGTCTTGCCAGAACTGGAGGAGCTACTTGAGCCTTCGTCAAACTGTGCGCCACAACCTCTATCCCTCTCGCATTCGGTATCAGCTCCCGCCAGTAGCGTATTTTTCCAGACAGAGGTTGAGTTGGAGGATAGGAAGCCCAGCAAACCGACATCAATCACGAAAACACCATCCTTGCCGTCTTTGCCAAGCATTCCGAAATCAAAGCGGGATGATTCAAAAGAAGCGGCTGGAAAGCCAGAGCTGTCAGAGATGTCCACCACGATTGAGTTGAAGGCAGGCTCTGAGAATTTCAGCAGCTTGGAGCGGGAGCCGAAAGTCCCAGTCGACAAGAAGCTCCAAGCCCAAAGATTGATGAAAGCCTTCCATAAGGCAGTCGATGGAAGATCCGTCTTGATTCTCACTGACCAGTCTGAAGTGAGGAAGTCGGTCATGCGAAGCTTAATGTGTGCAGTGAATGAGATGTCCATTTGCTTCACGTGCTCAACCGTTGATATGTGGAAGCGACTCAGCAAAGACCTCTTCCATGCTTTGATGGTAGACATGAGCAAGGCTGATCTTGAAATCGAGAGTCTTGTGAAGACCATCCGAGCAGATCCACAGTATGGAACGCTTCCCATCATTGTGTTGTCCCACAGGCAGCCAGAGTTGCCGGACTTAGTTCGGCAGACTTGCAGCTTTGTGGTGTTCCATCCACTTTCGGCATCGATGCTTCGAGAGGCTCTTCTTTGGTGTTTCAACCGCAGTGCCCTGAAACATCAAAGCTACTATTGGCCACAGGCTGCACCTGTTGTATTGCCAAAACGCCATGGTAATAGTTCAAAAACCCCGAACTTGACAGTGAGAGCCAGGCAACTTAAGCAAAAATGAACGTGCAGACGCGCAAGGTTTAGGCGAAAGAGCTATGCAGAGTTCAAACACATGGTTTCACACAATGTCTCACCCTGTCAGCAGAAGTGTCCAAAGTGTGGGCCGGGCAGACTACACGTTGTCTTTAATTTTGATTTTCATGTGTGGAACAGATTGGTGATCGGTGGTGTAGTCTTTCCGCATGGACAGCTCCAGTAGCAGAAGCGTGCAAATTGAAAAAGGGATCTGAAACTTCATGGAGGGGGCTGCCAATGTGACTGGACAGAAAAGATTTGTTGGAGATGATTTCCAGTCTTCGCACTTGCCCTTTGTTCTGGTTAGTGTCAGGCGCCGACTGGACAGTCTCCGCCTTTGACATGTCTTCAATTTTTTGTTTGGCAAATCTGTTCTTGGCCAAGTTGCCAAGGTTAGGTTTTCGTTCCTTTTTTCCTCTCTCTCTCTCTCTTGTTTTTCTCCATGCGTACATATATGAACAAGAGCAGAGGCCTCATCCTACAGCGGCATCATCACACCAGGCAACACCGAAGCCTCGGTCAGAGACTCAGGGACTTCAGCCCGGAGCAACCGAGCAACCGAGCAACCTAAGGAGGAAATGTTAAGTTGGTCACATAAGTTTCCCCAAAGATCCAGGAACCAAATGATTTGAATAGTGCTCGGGCTTCTTCAAGTGGCTAGGAAGCTTCCTTACTTGCTACTTGTAAGCTACTATGCTACCTCACCTAGCGGCCTACCCCGTCCTATCCTTATAAAATGGCGGCCTTAAGTAGCTTATAAGTCGCTTAGCGATGCTAAGCTTCAATAAGTAGCTTGAGGTGGCTAATGAATGAGTGGCTTTAGTAGTCACTACTTGTCACTACGGACTCAGATTCTTCAAGGAAGCGGCAGCGATCTTCCTTGAAGCCTTCGCTTGGTCCAACTCCATATCACGAAAGGTAGCCCTTTAGGGGATACCTTGAGTTTGTCTTGCCAAGCAAGTGTTGGCGCGTCCGGGTCTAATAATTGATCATTCAATTCAACCCCCCCCCCTGTGTTTAGTAGGGTCCTAGGTCCCCCTGGGCGTGTCTACGCTATAC